CAACACCCTCCCCTGGCATTTCTCTTATTTTTTGGTTTCTAACCCTTATTTCCTTGATTTTTCTTCCCCTATTTATTTTTTGACTAACCCTAATTCTTTTTTATTAACCATTAACAAAACCTTTTCTTTAACCCTAATTATTTAGGTTTAGGTTTTTAATTAACTTTTTTTTTTAAATTTATTAATTAACCTTTTTTTCAATTTTAAAATATATTAGATTTTTAGGTTTTATTTAATTAATTATCATCAAAAACTATTTTCTTTATAAAAAAACGCCAAAAAAATCTTTTTCACATTCTTTTCTATTTTTATTTTCCTTTTTCTTATCCTTAGATCAATTGTATAGGACGTTTCCACGAATGTAAATAACTTAGATCTAGACTTTCCGCTTTCTTTTCCTATTATGTATCTGCTTCCGAGATGTAATAGTTTTAGGGTTTCTTTTTCGCATTTCACTATTATGTAACTTCCCCAAAACCTTGTAATAGTTTTAGGTTTACATTTACGCCTTTATCTTCTGCTATTATATATTTTATGAAATTGTTAGTAATTAGGGTTTGTATGGCAAGATAAAATCAATCGATAGCAAAACCCTGAATTCAAGACTAAATAATTGAACTGAACACACTTGCACACTTGCAGCTCTAGGGTAGCCTCTCTTTGTTGCCTTTCGAAATAACGGTCATGTCCCTCGAAATTGGGGATGCTTTAGAAAAATACCCTCAAATAAAGATCATAGTCCCTCGATGACCCTTCGATGTTGCATTTCGAAATATGATGACAATCCCTTACGAAACTTCTAAAGCATCCTACAAGTTTCCTTCGTTGACCGTACGATGACCCTTCGCTTTTCCCTTCACATCCAGTAGATAAGGCTACCTACCAACCAATGGTACGGATATAACTATCTCTAAAGGAGAAGAAAAAGAATAAGAATGACCTTGAGTGGGTAGGATACTTTTAATCGCTTGCTCACAAAACATTTCTCACAATCACACTCTTCAACAAAAAAATATTTTCAAAAAAAAAACTTTGTATACATTCTTAAGGACCGATACAAGAGTTATTACAAAGTTTTCCTTACATTGGCAAATTTCAAAATATTTTCAAAAACACACATAAAAAGAAAGATTTTCAAAGTGAGCTAAGCGATTAAGATCTCGTAGATTACTACGGATGAAAAGGGTGCTAACACCTTCCCTTTTCATAACTTACCCCCCGAACTCAAAAACTATCAAGGTCTTTCCTGTTCTTTTCACCCTTTCCTTATTTGATAAAAAAAGTTGGTGGAGACTCTAGTTATCTGTACATTTTAGATAAAACCAAAAAAGTCAGTTCTCCCACTGTATTAAAAATGCGCGTACAAGCTTTCCAATAACCATAGTTTTCTCTCGTAAAGATTCGCGCTCTATTATATGCCTTTTTAGGTTCGTTAACCATTTTCTAATAAGAGTTTCAAAGTACATAATTAACTAGATCTTGATACCAATTTTTAGACGACAACGACTAATCTAGAGGGGGTGAATATATACCCAAGTAAAAATTACCTTTCAATATGGTAATAAAAATTTATTCAAAAGACAACATTGTGCGAAATATTTTTAGCCTAGATCGAAAGTCATCTAAATAAACCTAGTTATTGGAAACTCAGATATGTGATAGCCAAATGAAATAATAATGATACTAATCGTACCTGTTGATCAGAACTTGAAGTGGGCCGAGATGACAACGTCTGCTTGGATGGAAATTTATGGAGAGGGGGGTATATCTATAAGGTACTCCGACGATCTAGTAAGAAAGAATGCAAAAAGATACAAAAAAGAGATTAGAGTTTTATGAGTGAAAATTGGATACCTGGCCCTCACAAGGGTGAGGGTTTATATAATTCTTCTGGTACGTAGCCATTGGTTCCTATTTTTAGGCCTAGATATCAGGTTTCGTGAAAATAGGTAACTGCCAGGACCTGGTCAAAACAAGTAGATGTACCCATAACTAGATGCTGTCGAGCAAGGATGACATAACAAGAAGATGCGTTATAGGCGCGAGTTTGGTTTTCTACTCCAAGGGTTTAAGTAGGACGAAGATGGGTGTCATCATAGACAGGATCTCGATTCGAGCGCTGTTGGTCTCGCTGCCTCAGGGGCAGTCGACAAGATGTGCCCGACCAGAGGCCTTAGTTGGTGGATCAGTGCTTATTGGGCCGCACTGGAGGTAAGAGTGGATTGGACTAATTCTAGTCATTGGGATAGTCCAGAACAGGAGCCTCCAAGTCGTTGCTTCTGGGTATATGAGAGATGACTTAAGACGTGCCCGTGAATGGGGAGTCCAAGGGATGCTCAGCGTGCTCATCTTGCAGAGAGAGGAATATTTGAATGTCTTTGGGAAGTTTTGAGTGTCGTGTACGCATCGAGCCACATGTTGTCATAAAGGTGTAATGATGGCAGGTCTAGGGACTAGGATGCAATGATGAAGATTCTAGGTTCTCCAGGCGTGTGTCCGATCACATGCGAGTGAAGTTGCCTATAAATAGGAGAGAATAAGTTAAGTTTTCACTTTTTTCTTGCTCTTCTTCTACATTGTTATTCTTCAAAGTTTTTGTTTTTTCTGTTGTTCGTTGTGGCCTACTCTGTCGAGATTCTTCTTTAATTTGGAAAGTTTCTCGGATCTCCTCGTCTTTGTGGGTTTAGCTTCTTTTATGATTTAGATTCTGAAGCTTTTTCCCTAAAAATGCATGTGGATAGGGTTTAGAGTAACTTAGCATTTAGAATCCCTGGCGGAGTGTTGGTTGTAGAAGGTGGCTTCTCCAAATGAGATCGCTGGCGATGATGTGTGTTCTTCCTGGAAGGTTTGGAATCGCGGCATCACTGATGAATGTAGATGATTCCTTTGGCAAATTTAGTCCGTTTTTGGGCTTTTTTTCATGGCTTTCATGTGTTCTCTGTTTATTTTCTGGGTAACTCCAATTCGTTAGTCGGGGAGAGTGATGATCGTTAGTTGATGTTAAGTGAGGGATCTGGTCGGGGACGGGGTCCTCGTTCCTTTGCGCCCTTTCACTTGATTAGCGGTGAAAGGGTGGATTTTACTTTGATGTTGAACTCACTTTTGAACTCTACATTTCAGGTATAATGGCTAACAATGCTGATCATGAGTTTTTGAACGAGCCTAACGGTTCTGCTCAGAGTTCTACCAAACACACATCCAACAAAGTGAGTACCTCGGGGCGTTTGAGTATGAATCGAGTACGCTAGAACCAAGGTCTCCTGAGCAACAAGTCATCGAGGAAGATGTAGATGATGATCCTTTGGCTTGGGTCGCACCGGACCGTGGGAGCATGCTTCTTACTTCATCGAGCACTCATATGATATATTTACGTTGGTGGACCCGACGATGGAGCTCGAAGGTTCCAAGGAGGAGTGGTGATATATATCCCCGGGAAGAATCATTGGATCTGATCGAAGTTTGATGCTCGAATATTTCCCATGTATGATATCTCATTCAGAGAGATGGGTTTTCGACTTCCCTTCTCGGATCTTCAGGTGGTGGTCTTCAGGCACATTCGACTCGCTCAATCCTAAATGCACCCAAATTTGACCGCCTTCTTGCAGGCTTTCGAGGTCGTCTGCGACCATCTGAGCATCGGGGCCACCCTTTCTCTATTCTTCTATTGCTTCCACCTTTAAAGGAGCAGGTTCGGTGCTCAGTTAGGATGGGTTTCTTTAAAGCAGGCGAATGGGAAACTGTTCAAGGCTTATTTAGAGTCTATTTGATTCTTCAAGGACAAGTACATTCTTATTTAGCCCGTCTCGGAGAGGGCACTGCTGAATGTTTTTAGGATTGCTCCAGCGTATGACGAGGACAATGGCACCATTCTGAATGAGGATGGGGAGCACATGAAGAAGTTGGTGCCCAAGTTCTATTTCCACTGGACTAGAAATCACTATGATAAGGAGACTGAACTCTATGTCTAAAAGAAAGGTCAGCTTGATTATGAGGATCAAACTAGTGTCATACCCCAAATTTGTATGCCTTCGCGCTATGCTCAAAATTAATTTCAAACTTGGATTTTTATAAAATTCTTTTAGTTTACATTAATATTTTGGGTTTTATAAATATTCTTTCTCAAGTCTAGTTAAAAATATAATAAATTATTTCAAAATATTTGTATTTTTAGAATAGTAAGTATCTACACACCTTTCATATACTTTCAATTGAGTTTATTTACAAATGAGTAACGTATCACAATTGATAAAGAATGAAGCTTGCAAAATGAGGTCATGGGTTCGAACCTCTTGTGATGCATTTTAACATTTTTTATTTTATCTTTTTTGTTACTAATTTTCTTTCCTTTTTTAGAGATCAGACTTTGGACTTTACATTCATTTTAGATAACTTACTTGCTAAGTTTTTAAACCTAATTCTAAGTCTATAAATAGGACTCATTATTGTCCTAATTGAGGGAACAATTTCATATTACAAATCAACAATTTCACAATCAGTAGAAATTCTTTTATTTTTGTTTATTATAGAGTTTCTAAACAGAAACTCTGAAACTCTGTTGTTGTCTATATCAGAAAATATTACCAAACGGCCCATGATTTCATATGAGACCCATTTCCTTTTTTATTTTTTATCCATTTTAATTTTAAATCGGTTTATTTTTTCTACCATATAATAATCATCAGATGATAGCTTACGTTTTCATAATTATATTAGTTTATGTTTTCATAATTATATTCTTATTAATTTTCGGGGGACCTTTTCACTAACCCCAATTCTAACACAATTGTATATAGTTTATATATAGTGATACACACTTGACTTGTCCACCGTAACTGTTACACCACCACTACACGAATCACCATAAAGTCTCATTTTGTTTTTCTGGTCAAACCGCTTTTTATATTTTCGTTAAATTTTTTTAATTACCATTTATAAATTATTTTCTAACCACATCATCACTAACATCCCAAAACTAAAAGTTATCATTACTAACAAGCTAATCATAAAAACCTGCAATAAACCATAAACATGTATTTTATAATGACTTTTACTAACAACAAATTTGCAGCAAAATAAAAGCAGTTTCCATTATCAATAATATCATATCCTGCAATTATTACTTTCTTTAACTGTTTTGTTGTTACAGAAGAAATCAACAGAAAGGCAAAGAAAAGCATCAACATCACTGAAACCACAATTGGCCGCCCTCCGCTCATAACAACATTGACAACCTGCTCCACCTGCAAAGCTCATGGAATCGCACCACCACGGATGAGATCTGAAACTTCTCTACCGCGGCCAAATCCCTCATATTACATGGTGAGGGCTGTTGTTGAATTTGAGAGGAATGGAAATCAAAGTCAATAATGGATGCTGTGGTGTGGAGCAGGAGCAGGGTACATTCAGTTGTTGTCAATTGCTTCTTCTTTTCTTTTTTAATTATACATATTTTAATTGAGTTAATGCTTAGTTTGTTTGGGCCTTAATCTCTACTATATTACTAGTCCTCACCCTCTTTATATTAATTGCATCCTTGATTTTATTTACCTATTTTATTTTTAATTTAGTTTTTATACTAATTAAGTGTAATTATAATTATGTACTTAATTTTATTTAATCAATAATTTAGTTTATTAGGAGTTTAATCCATTTAAAACTCAAATATATAAATAATCTCCTCTCCTACATAAATCACTAATTAAAATATTCTATAAATAATATGATGTATATCTTCGAATAATTAAATCGATCGACACATCATTTACCGATTTATTATTTAAAATCAAATAGTTAAAATTTATGCAAATCACCAAATTCTCCATCCGCGAGCGACACATGGCCATTATCTGGCCACGTGAGGAGGAAGACTTTATCAGACTTCCTCCGCTCTGTATATATCATACCCCAATTTCTAACTTAAGATCTCATCTTCATTTGCATTATATATATATATATATATATATATATATATATATATATATATATATATATATATATATATATATATATATATATATATATATATATATATATATATATATATATATATATATATATATATATATATATATATATATATATATATATATATATATATATATATATATATATATATATATATATATATATATATATATATATATATATATCAAAGTCACGGAATATGGTCGGTTTCGAACTTCTCACCTTCGAGCATTTCCTGTGCAGAGATTATCGAGTGTTGTGAATATTTTATCTTATGCATGACTAACTTCTAATCAAGCACGAGGTGTATGTTTGTGTTTCTTTTGTTTTCATGTGTAGAGACAAGTTTGAATCAAAAGCATCAGGCATTACGCCATAATTAGGGTTTCTAATTCCTCCAAGTTGTTCAAGTATGACGAATCATTGATTCTCAAAGGCTACTTCATCGAAGTTTACCCTTTAATCTCAAACCACAATCAAGATTTCATCATCATTGGTTCGCATGTGCATCACCATGCCTTGAAATACAAGAAAATATCAGGCTAGGCGAGACGACTCTAAGCTCTTTGACTAGAAGTCAACACTGCCAAGATCAAGTTTAAACGATCATAACTTCCCATATTTTTAACATTTCGATACGATTCTTTTTGCACAGCTATCATAAGTGATTTCTCCTACAAGTTTCTTCAAGGAATTGTTGATTATGGAGGATTGAAGTATAAATTATAACTTATTTTGGTCGATGCAATTTTGGTTCTCATCAAATACTTGTTACTCCAATTTGCAAGTTAGCTTAAATTCGGAGCATTAAAGATTCATTAAGATAAAAGTTCTGTCATTGAGATTTAGAAGTGAAGATTTGTCAAGTGAGCCAAGGTTTCTTAAAATGAAGGTAATTCATTCATCAAAGCACAGTGAAAGGTACGATGAGAAATTTTTGTTTTCTATGGCTTAGAACTTCAAGTTACAACCAAAGAAATGTTTCATTTTTGAAAGACAAGTATCTCAAAGTCATTATTGACCATTTTGTGTGATACTTTGATGGATTCACACCATGGCCATTTGAATTCACATGAGGCATTTATTAAAGGAGATATTGAAAAGAGAAACTTGATTCAAAATTGTCATTCATCACATGAACAAATACATGATGGTTACAAATTCATTACAAGATCAATTCATGTAATTCATTTGGATCTCTAATGATGAATACAAGATGCAAGATTGAGGTCTTAAGGCATGCATCATTGTTCATTCATCATTAATCCTTTCCAAATTTAAGTGGAAGATTTCGAATTTTATCAAGAAGAATATAAAGATTCAAAGTTTCAAATGATCCAAAGTGTTTACAATTACAAAGGAATTGAGAGAAAATTATATTCAAGACAAGTTTCCATTCATGTTACATAAAAAGTTAAATTTTAGACCTAATGTTAATTTCAAAGCTTCAAATCTTATTCCAATACCCTGCCGAAAAAAAACCTTGATGTCCAACAATTTAAACCAGTCCAATATCATGCTGCAGCTCCCTACAAACCAGTCCAAAAAAAACAGTCTGCTATGCCACTGCTACCCTGCTCAACCTGCATAAAAATACCAAACAAAACAAGACTAAAATTGCATTAAAATGGCAAGCATCAAAAGCTGTCTCAAAAAACATCAAAGCAGCTAACCAAGTCTTTTCAAATTTCTCATATTTTCCCCCCTAACCCCACATATTTCACTATAAAAGGAGACCTTCATTAACAGGAGAGAGAGAGAGAGAGAGAGAGAGAGAGAGAGAGAGAGAGAGAGAGAGAGAGAGAGAGAGAGAGAGAGAGAGAGAGAGAGGGAGAGAGATAAAAATGTGTTCAATAATCACAGCAAAGAATCAGAGCTAAAGAAGCTTGAACATCAACAAGAGAGAGAGAGAGAGAGAGAGAGAGAGAGAGAACTTTCTATTTTTGTAACTCCATCGGAGAGACTCCGGTAGGTATTTATTCTCCCTATTACTTCTGCATAATTTTCTCATATATACATCAGTATCTGTTAGATTTTCTTGCATAGCAACATCACTTACATGTTTGAATCTTCTCTTTGCACCACTTTTTTTATGCCATATGAATGCTTGATTTATCACACTCTTTTACTGTGTTCTAGAGCTACTGCAATTTGTTGATATTTAGAAATGTTTAGAAGAAATAAATAATAATAAATGCATATGGAAACACACAGAAAATGACACAAAAAAGAAAAAAATAGAAGTGAAAACAATAGAAACTACAGAGACAAATTAGAGAAAATTATGCATTAATATTTGTTCAAACTTCTCCAAAACTCAAAAACAATACTCACCATTTCCATACACCAAATAATCCTTTCCAGTACTTCCTTCGCCTTTTGCTTCATCATCGACCTCGCATCTCAATTTCACTCAACAGAACCACATATTCCATCTTCATCACCACAACTGATACCTTCAATAAACATTTTATACCCTCTTTTCAATTGCTACACAAACCCACTGTAACCTTCATCAAACAAGAGCCACCCTTATTCACCCAACTTCCACCATTATCCTTCATTTCTGACAATAATCTGTTGTCAAGCGCAGCAACACTATCATCTCCGCTGATATTCCCTCTTCACACGGACTAACACCCTTCAACATACTCCTTCAGCTGTTAACTATTAACTGTTATTTCCTCTTCCAATCTACACAACCATGTAAACCTCTACAAAAGAAAACAAAACTCATAATAGTTCATTCCAACATTGACCATCAATGTAACTTCATCCAGCAAGACAAAAGTAGAAAATTGCATCACAAAAATCAGAAGCACGCAAAGGAGGAGAACGTATACTATACCTTAGATACCCGTCGGAGGATCTCCCATTCAGTAACCTTGTTTCTTCCCTCTCGCTATTTCTGTTATTATCATGTGAATGTTGTGGGAGAATGATGCTAATGTCGTTGTTATTGTTGTTTGAATGGAGAAGAAGATGAACAGAGGAGTAGTTTTATTGTTATTGATATAAATAAATAGAGGAATGGATTGAGAAAGGTGAAGAAGCGTGAATAGGGAAGAGATAGTTTTAATTTTTTTCACGATAAAGCATAGGAAATAGAGTTTAATTGGGAATCAAAAATTAAATATGTAATTTCCCCTTTCCAACACAAATTCGGCGCCTCTTTGTATATTAAGGTTTCAAAAACCCTTCCTTGTCTCTTCCCAAACCGGGTCGGCCCCATTGGGCCTGTTGGCCCAATCATATTATCATTGTCACCCTTTTCTTTCAATTATGGTATAGACATAAATGAAAAAACGGGTAGTCCAATGGTTAAGCAGTTTAGGTGTGACAAAGAGCACTTGGGTTCGATCCCTGGTTTCCATTATTTTTAGTCATAAATCCTTCTTTTACTTTTATAACCTTATTTCATTCTAATTTTTCACACAAAAAAAATAAAAAAATAGTATAGGTTTATAATTATTTTTCACCTCAAAAAATGCCATAAAAATTATATTAGAATTGTCTTTCTTTTATTTTGATTAATTGTTAGTTGTTTAATTTCTTTTTTCCGATTATTCAATCTTTATATTTCGTTTACGCCATAAAAATTATATCAGAATTGTCTTTCTTTTATTTTGACTAAATGCTAGTTGTTTAATTTATTTTTTCGATTATTCGATCATTATATTTTGTTTACGCCATAAAAATAATATTAGAATTGTCTTTCTTTTATTTTGATTAATTGTTAGTTGTTTAATATCTTTTCGATTATTTAATATTTATATTTTTCTTTGCGTCTACTCCAAAGGAAAAATCAAATTCATTGACTTCATGTAATCGAGTATCTAATATGATTGTGCAAAACCCCTTCATACATTTTAGTTTTTGTTAAACTTAAGTTAAATCTCCTAAAAATCAATTTCTAAACATACCCTCTTTTAAGTCAAAACATCGACACTAGGTCGTCGTATCTTCAAAATCTCATTCACACTCATTTTAACCAAACAACCAATTTTAACCAAAAAACTGATATTTCAAAAAGTTCTTGCGGAGTATCGCATACGCATTGGGCGCTAGTACCTTCCCTTTGTATAACCAAACCCCGAACCTTCAATATCTTTCAAAAATTCATTGTATTTTCATTACTTTTAAGTATTACTTTACATTGCATCTTTAAGGGTTTTATTTCGCTCTTTTTTCTTTTCCCTTGCAAATAATAAAGCTCGGCGGCGACTCTTACTTTTACGAGTCAAGTTAATCA